CCCTGAGGAACTGCAGGGCGCACATATGAAGGATTCCTTGTGGAAGTCACAAAGGGGAGCAAGAAGGAGCACAAATGACCCAAGGAGATGGTAAGAAGCAGTGAAAAAACAGATGTCGCTGGAGAGGGAGAGAGAGAGAGGGAGAGAGGGAGGGAGGGAGGGAGAGAGAGAGGGAAGGAGGAGGAGGAGGAAGAGGAGGAGGAGGAGGAGGAATAGAATCCAAACAAAAATCATTGAAATAAGACACACAAAAGGGATTGTCAGGTTTGCTCAGCAGTTAAGGGCACTGGTTGCTCTCCCAGAGGACACAGATCTGAATTCCAGCATTCACATGCTGGCTCACAACCATCTACAGTTCCAGGGCAATCTGACACTCTCTTCTGGCCTCCTCTGTCACAAGGTACACATGTGATGCACAGATACACACGCAGGCAAAATACCCATACACATGAAAGAAATTAATTAGAGAACGTGGCAAGAGATGCTGCTGTAGTTCATGCTCCTTCCGTTCTAGCTTCCTCAGACGCTGCAGCCACGGTGATGCTGAACCTGTAAAGAACTAGACTGACTGCCATCTATGAACTTCTTTTTAAAGAAGGAGTGGTGGTTGCCAAGAAAGATGTCCATATGCCCAAACTCCCCTTGGCAAACAAGCATGTGCCCAACCTTCATGTTATGAAGTCTATGCAGTCTCTCATGTCAAGTTAGATGAAGGAGTAGTTCGCCGGCCTGGAGACATTTCTATTGGAACCTTACACGAAGGCATCCAGTAGCTAGATCCAAGATGACCTCTGGAGATTTCGCCTGCCGCCCTGTGCCACAGTTGTCCTGAGACTCGCAGGCCTCAGTCCAAAGGTCCAGAGGGTGAGTAACCATCGAGATTCACAAGAGGGGAGGCAGACAGAGACTCCTCCAGAAGAAACAGTGAGCCCCTAATGTGGACAAGAAAGCTGGCTCGGCAACCAAATGCCAGTTTATGTTACAGGAGGGGAGACTTGTTCATCCTGCCCACACGGCGAACTTAACCCCAAAACAGCCACATGAAAACTGTATTAATAAAATCACTGTTTGGCCCATTAGCTCTAGTTTCTTATTGGCAAATTCTTATATTAATTTAATCCATTTCTATTCATTTGTGTATTGCCACATGGCAGTGTCTGTCTCTGGTGGATTCATGGTATCTCTCTGACTCCGCCCTTCTTTCTCCCAGCCCCTCTGCCTACCAAAGTTCTGCCCTATCAACAGGCCAAGGCAGTTTCTTTATTCATTAGCTGAGAAAAGCAACACACAGAGGGGCCTCCCACATCAAGTTTAGAGGTGGCTTTGGTCAGGGGACATGGTCAGCTACCTCAGTGAAATGGGAGATTGTGCTAGGTTGAGTAAACTTAAAAGAATAACATGGAAAAAATAACAAGATATTTTATTTTTCTAAAAGACATAATTCACAAAAAATTCTCATGGTCCATTAAAATGTATAAAATAAAAGGGTTTATGATACAAGGAGAAACTGCTACAAATGTGATTGCAGTGGGATGTTGCACACTCTTCTGAGGGAGGCAGAGGCCATGGTTAGCATCCTAGCCATTTTCTTACCAACTTGACACAAGCTAGCGTTAATCTGGAAAGAGGAACCTCGAGTGAGAAAGAAAATGCCTCCACCAGATTGCAAGTCTATGGGGCATTTTCTTGACTAATGATTGATGTGGGAGGACCCAGCCTACTAGGACAGTACCACCCCTAGGGAAGCACTGGTGTAAATAAGAAAGCAGGCTGAGCAAGCCATGGGTCCCAAACCCATAGACAATGTTCCTCCATGGTCTCTGCTTCAGTTCCTGCCTCCAGGTTCCTCCCTTGAGTTCCTGCCTTGGCTTCCCCGAGAATGGGCTGTAACTCATAGGCCATTTAAACCCTTTCCTCCTCAGGTTGCTCTCATTACAATAACAGAAACCTAGCTAACCCAGTACAGGAAATATCCCCCAAAGGCCATGTGCTAAAGCCAGTGCAAATTGTGGTGCTATTGGGTGAAAGTTTTTGCACCCCGATAAACCTCTCCACGGATGCAATAATCCACATCAGACCAAACCAAGTTAGAAAAAGCCCAGGTTTAATGGATACTAACATTCCTGGGTGGTCTTCCAGCCCCCCCTCCAAGAGGAGACTGGGAAGGAAGGCCAAGAAAACACGTTTGTTCTCTGGGGGGCAATTTAAATACCCTTTGGGAGTGATGTTGAGCATCTCTGGGGAGGGGGAGTCATCATTTGGTGGGCTTTCTTGGAGGTGGAGTCTAGACTGAGGCAATTCCCAGGGGCGGGGGCTTGGGATGGAACTTCCACCCAAACATTCCGCTCTTTGGATATTTGGATGCCAGGAACTGAGGTGAAACTTCCACCTACACACCGGGGAGTAGTAAAACCTTTTTGAAGGGACCCAGGAGAAGGACACAAGGTCATGGGAGATATGGCCCTTTAAGGGGACAGGGGGACCCTGGCCCCTTGCTCTCTGTTTAGCATGTGTCAAGAGGTGAGTAGCTCTGTTTCCGAGCATATATCCCACCATGATGCTGAACCTTGCCTCAGGTCCAAAGCGACAGAGATATGAAGCCGTGGACTAAGACCTCTGAGCAAAAATAACCATACAGCTTTGTCCTCACAGTAATGGGAAGTCAACTCACAAAGCATAAAAAACAGAAGCTCAACAGGAATATCTAAGCCCTGACTAAAGCGATAAATATCCTGCTTTCATAGACTCTGTCAGTGATGCCACCTCTGCTCTCAGCCCAGGACAACGATTTGTTGAGATATGTCAGCTGTCATGTGAGATTATTATTTTTTTTCTTTTAAGAGAAGAACCTTTGGGGGGAACAGTTGCAGGTTGGGTAGGACTGAGGGCCACCTCTACAGTTGTATCATGGTTGTGCCCCTCAGTCGAGAGTAAGAACCTGTAGTGGTTTAAATAATAAGTGTTCTGCATTGACTCCTGTATTTAAATGCTTGGTCCCCTGTAGGTGGCGCTATTTGGTGACACTGTTGAATTATGCCGTGGTTTGAAAGAAAATGGCCCTCAAAGGGAGTGGCACTATTAGGGGTGTGGCTTTGTGGGAGTGGGTGTGGCCTTGTCAGAGGAAGTGTGTCGCTGTGGAGCCGGACTTTGAGGTCTCTTGTTTACGCTTCCCTCAGCGTCAGAGTCAGTTTCCTGTCACCCGCAAGTAGGGCTCTCAGCTGCTCCTCCTCCAGCACCATGTCTGCCTACGCGCTGCCATGATGATAATGCATTGACCCTCGGAGACTGTAAGCAAACTCCCTCGGCTAAATGTCTTCCTTTTAAGGGTTGCCACAGTCACGGCGTCTCTTCACAATAATAGAAGCCTTAACTCAGACACACTGGGAGGTGGAATCTTACAGAAGGAAGCAGTCAACTGGGGTTTTGAGACCTCATAGCCTCATTCACTTCCAGTTCTTGCTTTCTGGGTGTAGTTAAAGATGTGATCCCTCAGAGTCTTGTTCCAGCCATCTGCTGCCACGCCCCCCCTTTTTTGGGCTCTCCCTCTGGAACCCCACGCCAACATCAACTCCCCTTCCCATGAGTCACTGTTGATCATGGGGTTTCATCATAGCGACCAAAGGTGACTAACCAGAGCTCGGAGCTAAGGGATGATGTTTTCTTGCACAACGCAGTGGATTTCTGGGTGTGATGATCTGAGATCACCTGGCTGCTGAAGAAACCGTAGACACTAGCTTGTGGCCAAAAGGATACTCTGCTTGGCCCAAGTGACAAAGTGTGACTTAAAGCTGGTCTCTCCAGCATTCCAACACTCCAGGGAGTAGGGCATATCCTGTGGAGGACCACGCCTTCAGAGGAGGGGCAGGGGAGCGTGCTGTGTCTTCATTACTTAAGTCTAATAAGGACACAGATAACTGTGTAGCCATGGTCTTGAGACCTACAAGCATACCTACATAAGACTTTATGTAAAACCTGAGAACTTTCCAGCATTCAAGCAATATTCATAGACATTGATGACAAATTGGCTACACAGATAAAAAGCTCAACAAACATTAAAAGACAGCAAGTGTATTGAGACATAAAAACCTTAGCACCGTAAACTGCCAACAACTAAAGTTTAATTTTTAAAAAATATTTTGTTTTGTGTGTATAATGTCTTGCATGTGTGTCCAAGCACTTTACGCGTGCGTGGTACCCGTAGAGAACAGAAGAAGGCATCAGATCCCCTAGGACTGGAGTTCTAAGTATCATGAGCCACCAAGTGATCGTTTGGGATGAACCTGGGTCCTCTGAAGAGTAGCTATATGTCCCTCAACCATATCTGCAAACCCTAAAGTTTTAATTTTCTGAAGATTTGTTTTCGTTGTTTTTATTTGTGCGTGTGTATATGTATAACACATATGTGTAGGTGCCTGTGGAGGCCAGAAGAGGCAATGGGTTCCCTCAAGCTAGAGCTGCATTTCAGGCGACTGTGAGTGCCCAGACTGGGTGCAGGGAACTGGACTCAGGCTTTCTGGAAAAGCGTGGCTGGGTCTTAACCCGCTGAGTCATCTCTCTGACCCCTAAAGTTTAACTTTTAGGAGACGATGTTTGTAAATGATCGGATTGTGTTTACACTTTGACCCTCTTCAAACTTAAACATGAGAGCATTCACCTAGAGAAGTGCAGGAAACATGGGAACTCCCAATCTGCAAACAGAGATGGGGAGGGCACTGTCCAGACCTTCCAGGGAGCCTGTCACTCAGCAGGAAGGAGGGACATAAAAGCCAGGAGGAGTCAACGGAACGGAGATGAGATGCCAGCCGTGTGTTTAAAAGATACACAAACCAGACTAAAAACAAAATCTGAATTACTGGGAGGAAACTGTAGGTCGGGATGTAGCTCGGCGGCTGAGCATTGCTGAGCTTGGGTAAGACCCGGGGCTCCATCCCTGAGCACCCAATAAGTAACAATCTGGTCTTGATACAAAAATTTCAGGCCCGCCTCAGAAAGAAACTTACCCCACTGCAGGCCGTGGATGCCTCTCTTCCCAGCTGTTGACATCCTGAGGGGGTCGATGCTGTAGAGTCAAGTGGGTATGATCTTAGAGTCCAGATAGAGAGATGCTCCGGGGAAAGCGGGGAAGACTTCCATCTGTCGGGGTTCACAAGTGTTTGTCTGAGGGAGACAGCATAAATCATGATGTCATCGGCCCTGTCCTGTGAGCCAGGCAGAACAACGGACTTGAGATTCCTGTTGCTAGGAAGCTTCTGTCATCAATATGTCCAAGTCCAGCCTTCTAATTTAACTGCTTGGTAAGTTTGGATAACTTGGATCAGATGACTTGATCTTTGTGGGTCTCAGCTTCCCCCTTCCTATCTCTTTCCTGCATTGGAGCACAGGGTTACCCAACACAAGTGTGGCTCCTCCTCTCCCCATACTACCTACTCCCTTTCTCACCAAGCCCCAACACTTCATTCATAAAAGCCCTGGGCCCTTAGTCATTTAAAAGACAGCAAGGCTTGTCCTTTGCTTTTTCTTACATTTGTGTAACTTTTTTTGAAAAACATATTTATCGTTTTATTTTACTTCACACTATTAAGGGTTCTTTGCAACCTTCGATCCAACGCCCGGGTTTTAGAATAAATTCTCGCTAGTGCTGAAGTCAGGGGCACGGACTCATTCCCGGGTGTCGAGAGTTGCTCAGCAGCCAGTGCAACCGCCCACAGCTGGCCCCCGGTAGGTCACTGCGACCTTGAGGCCGGGCTGACTTAACCCACTCTGGCGGCAGCTGAGGACTTCACACGGTCGCTGCGGGCCGCACCCGCCGCGGACCAGACGGTCACGTGGGCGGCAGCCAGGGGAAACTCCAGGCTTCGGAGAGTCCCGGCCGCCGTCGGCCCCTCCCACAGTCTGGGCGGGGCGTCCTTGTCACCTAACGAGCCGGTGACGTTCTGGGCGGTGAGCTAGGGTCCGGGGTGAGGCTGGGACGCCGACCACCCGCGTGTGCAGAATCCACTCGAGCGCCACACTGGCTGAGGCTGTGAAGCCTCAAGAAATCAGGAGCTTGACCTTCGTCCACCGTCCGGAATTGGCTTGGTCTGGAACTGAGTCTTGAAAGCCAGGCTTCTCCAGGACCCAGAAATGAGGAAGCACTGGGAGGGAACCAAGGAGGCCCAGGCTGGCAAGGCCTGAGGAAAAGGAAGTGTGTGAGATGAATCCCTACCCGTGGTGAGGCTTTGGAAGTGGGGATGGATGTAGAGAGACTGAAGAGATGAGAATGACAGGTTACAAAATGCCGTGGACTCTCCCGTCCTCTTTAGCATGCCTGGTACTGGTTTCCTTGTTCAGCTCGGGTTTAGGCAGTCATGTTGGGAGACTATGGGTCTGTAACATTCCTAGCTGACACAATCTCACAGCAAACTCCCCGATCCTCTGTATCTGTGATAACAGTTAATGAAAAGGAGACCATACATTTGAAAGAAAGCAAAGAGGGGTAGAGGGTGGAGAAATGCAATTGCATTATAATCTCAAAAAATAAAAGAAATGTTTTTAGAGGATACAAAATAGGCGGTCGTGGTGCACACTTCTTTAATCCCATTACTGGGAGGCAGAGGCAGGATCTCTGTGGGTTCAAAGTCAGCCTGGTCTAAACGGGGAGCTACAGGACAGATGTGACTACATAGGGAGACTCTTATTTCAAAAATTAGACAGAAAAAAGAAGGAAAAACAGATACAAAATGTCAAGAGTAAGTTCGCAGCTATAGCCTGAGGTACACATTGTAGGGCATTGAGTATCCCAATTATCTTGATGTAACATTGTTGTGATGCCTCCAGACCTCAAAACTTCATGCTAGCTGCCTGAAAATTAGACTTTTTATTTATCAACTGAAAATAAATTATCAAGATAACTTGACTCAAATCAGCACCCAGGAATATTTAACAACAACAACAAAAAAAAAAAGGCAAATCTGAGCAAGACCCAGGAGCCTGGTCTGGGAAGTAGACAGAAGCCAGCCTGGTCAGATGGGGTTCACACTAGCAAAAGAACTCCTAAAGGCCTCAGAGAGGCCACAAAAGCTGCAACCACAAACCATGCCAAACCTCCATGTAGGAGCGAGCACAAGGAAGGCCCTGCTCCCCTACCGGCCTGGTGGCAGGCAGCAGACCAAGTTGTATCCATTCTGTGGCTTGATTACAAAGGGAGACATTCCACATGGTCCCTACAGCAAGGAAGAGGGAGACTTCCCCTGCCCCCTGAAAGTGACAGGACAGCCCCGTGTGCTGCCCCCAGAAGCATCGTCATCTTCCAGGGGCCTCGAAGGAAAGGGCAAACAAATGGGCAAACAAATTCAAAAGTATCTATCATTAAAGGGCTGGGGGTTTTTTTGGCAAGCAACTGGCTGGGTGCTCAAGGCTATGCCAGTGTTGTCCGGCTGCCGCATAAGTATACTACTTTGTGATTGGCTTGTTAGAGTCACATGCATGCTCCTAGGTTGGGAATATAGAAGAAGGACTCACATGAAGCCCATCACCTCCTGAGGCCCCACAGATGGACTTGGTCCTGGACCAATGGAGAAGCAACAGCATGCATAGTTTCCCCTCCTTCTTGGGGTACAGAGCTTTGTCTGCACAGGGGCGTGGGTCACCAACGGCCTGAACTCTGCTTCCCTAGTCTAAGCGTATGTCCAGGGCCAGGTTCAAGTGGCACCACTTAGACCGCAGGCACTTGACTCTGCACTCTAGTTCTCTAATCCGGAAGCTACTGGGCACCTTCTGGAAGTGCTAGCCTGAGAGAGAAGCCAAAATGTGTGGGACATGGAAAAGAATTGTGAGGAGGGCGAACAGTAGAACCTTGGCTGCATCTGGAGCTCCTGGTTTCAAAGTTGCAAAGCCGCTACATTCCTGCTTTGTAACAGCATTGCCAAACAATTACAAGTGACAAGCACGGATGCATAGAACGACCAACTGATTTGGCTTGCAGAGCTCAGCACAGATCTTTCCTGAGTTGGGCTGTCTTGCTAGGATCCTTCCCTAGAATTCCAGACAACACCCTTTACCAGAAGACCAACCTGCTGAGTTCTTTGACCTTGGTGTGGCTGCAGGAAGTACCAAGCCCCCTCTGCTGGGGTCTGTCTGCCACAGCATATCCCCCTCCAGTACCTTATCCTCTCCTACCCTCTCAGTCTTATGTCTTTTAGGTGGAGGGGTCAAGATAGGCAGAAACTCCTCTGTTACCTGATGGCCCATGGATCAGCTGAATTAGAGCCCTCAGCATCCCTAGGGGAGACAGTGAGCCATGTCCCAACATACAGCCAGGGTCCTGCTGAGCATGAAGAATTGGAGATCTTCTCAAGTGCACATGGCTAAGGCAGGATTTCCTGGCCACCCACGTGGGTCCCTGTGGAAACACACAGCATCTCTCCACTGCCCACAGGGTCTGCTTCTACAGAGGGTCTTCAGACTTCTGCTCTGCCTATGGCTCTGTGGCTTCCTGGCTGCTCGGCTAACTTGAAACCAGCAGCCTCGGAGTACAGGTTCACAGGCCCAACCATGGAGGTCCTGAAGGTAGAACTGCAAAAATGAACACAAAAACACCTCCCCCAAGCCTCCAGGGTATGTTTCTGCTGCTTCACTGCAATGCTTTATTTTGTTTTTCAAATTCAAATACAACTTAGTATCCAACTATTTTATTTGCTAAACCCTGGCAGCAATAGCTAGAGAAGGCCCAGTGCGGAGAATGATCAGTGTGGGAAGCGAGATCCTAGACTCGCCTCTTGCCAGGTGTTTTCTAAGGTCACCCCTTCGTGTACCGACCCCACAGATGCCACCAAAGCAAGCCCTAATATGGAATAAGACATAGAAAAGGCAACAAGCTGGCCCACTGTGTCCCTTGTCTGGGCACAGCAACCAATGACAGCATACCAAGGTCCTTTCTCTTTGCAGGTGACTGCTCCCAGCCATAACTGTGTGAAACCACACAAGTAGCCTTGGTGTTTGTTGTGAAACTAGAACAAACCTGAAAACTGGTCCAGGACCTTTCGTATTAAGTGTCCAGGGGACTCATTCAGACCCTTGGAGGTAGGGCTGGTGGCTCATACATCAAGAGCCTGAGGGAGGCTAGACCTCTGGGCAGCCTGTACTCTACACTCTTAGCCCCCATGGTTGCCTGAGTGATCTAAAGCCTGGCAGTCGTATTTAAAGCTGCCCAGACTGGCGTAACTGAGCCCCTTCTATAGACTGGAAGCTTGTTCCCTGGTACAGTGGGCTGGACAGAGACTCGGGTCCTCCTCTCTGGAGAGACCTGCGAGGCTAGCTATTATTAAAAAAAAATCAAGCCAAGCCAGGGAGATGGAAAAGGCACTTTGTCATCGAGCCTGAGCTTGCGCCCCAGAACCCACATGATACACGGAGACAAACAATTTCTGCAAGCTATCCTCAGACCTCCACATGTACGTAACTGCACACACTCAAAATGCTAGAAAATAATAGTTTTTAATTAATGGATTTATTCTATGTGTTTTTCACATCATGGATCTTGATCCCATTCATTCCCTGTCCTTTCACATTAACACTCCACCCTGCACCCGTCCTCCAAATAAACCAAAATCAAAGAGGAAAAATGAAGAAAATAAAATGAGAAAAAAAAAATAAAGGAAGGAACTAAAGATCTCATCATGCACGCTGCAATGAGACACAGCAGGCCATGCCATATACCCCTTTGCCCTCTGTCCATTCATCTCTACTGCCAGCATTCATTACAGAGCCACTACTCTGGTTCAAGGCCCCTGGGCTCCACTACACGTTCAGTGCTGGGCTCCCACTAGGACTCTTTCGGGACATCCCGCTTGTACCTTATGGAGATCCCGCAGCTTGGGGTCTGTGGGTCAGGTCACTTCACATGCTCCAGTCTATCACAGACAGGATGGATGTGGGGGCGGGCCAAGTCATAACCCTGGGTCTGAGCCTGGACAGCAGTAGGGTTGGTCTGCCAGGTGGGAAATGGGGACAGCTCTTCTTGTTCGCTACTTTGGTGCTGGCTCACTCACACCTCCACCAACAGGCTTGGCTCTATTTACTGTCCAGGGAAGGTGCATCTCCGTGTGCTGTAGCTGATGGGGGAGTAAGCACACCTCTCCTGCTCTTGTGACCTCAGGGTCAGTTCTCCCACCTGCCCCAGGCCTTATGGGCGGGGTGGTAGGGTGTGGCGACCGCCTCGACCAGCAAGGAAGATGCAACACCTGACTCTTCTTTCTGCGGTTTATTCAGGAACCTTGAACAATCTTCTGACCCTCTCGCCCTGGGGAAAGCCAGCCCATAGCTTAAATACCCTCTGGGTAGCCAACCCTGGCATGCTATGTGGGGAATGCAAATAGGTCCAGATACACGGAAGCAAGCCAGATCTCTAGCCTTAGCCTTATAAGCAGTTGTTTGTGCCAGAGAGTGCTCACCTTCGGGGAGGTGGAAAGCGGAAATCCGGTGCCATCTTTAAGGCGCAGAACTACGCAACTCCCTACAATAGGGCATCTTTCCCTCACCTATGCCGCCACAAGACAGATGACCAGGAGGAAAGCTGTCCCTTGCTCACATCTTTGAGGCTGGCTCACCCACACCTGTGCTAACGGGGTTGGCACTGTGCAGCCCTGGTGAGGTGCAGGGCCTGTTCTTCTGAATGTTGTAGCTGTTGTGAGTCAGGGACAGTGATGTAGGTGGGTCTTATTTTTATTTGCTGCTTTCATTGGTTAATTAATAAACTGTTTGGCCTGATAGGTCAGAACATAGGTAGGCGGGAAAGACAGAACAGAATTGTGGGAGAAAGAAAGCCGAGGCAGGCCGTCGCCATGACTCTCCTCTCCGAGACAGACGCAGGTTAGGACCTTTCCCGGTAAGCCACCACTCGTGATGCTACACAGATTATTAGAAATGGGTTAGATCAATATGTAAGAGTTAACCAATAAGATGCTACAGATAATGGGCCAGGCA